CGGGCACGAAGGCGTACATTAAGTATCGCCTGCAGTTTTCAGAGTTTGAGTAAAAGTGAAATTAATTCCAAACCTTATTTTCTTCAATTAAAGTTTACATTATCTGAAGTCCAATACAAATACTAAATGGATCTTATTCTTGTAATACTGAATGATATCAAATTCGGCAAAGTAGCTGGAAGAAAGAGTCAAGTTAGTATAGGTAATATGGTATTACATTACCATCGTTAATTAATTAATTAATCAATTTATTTATTTCATAAGATGATATTTACCTTTTTGTTTCCCTTATATCTTTAAAATTCGCCATAAGCCAAGCAGCGCTTACAGGGGCAACAGGAAACTTTTGCCGAGTTAAAAAAAAGTTTTAAGAACCAGAAGGTTTACCTTGGGCGATGGCCAGGTAGACGTGTCATAAGATTACAGAATTTTATCGAGTTAAGCGAATCAACTATTTGAAAGAACAGGAAAGGTACAATTTGAAGCATTGCTTTATGTCTTACAGCCTTGGAAGAAGTTCAGTCGGCTTTACAATTTTCGTCTTGGCGCCCTTGTTAACAAAAAAAGTGCAAAGGATTGCCAAACAGGGGAGATCTCGAGAGTTCCTTCCAGAAATTTTTCACTGGTGTGACTTCCAATTTCATTTATATATGGAATACAAGTTTATCTTGAGCAGTAGTATTACACATGAATAACAATTTTTCTTCAATACAAGCGAGATTTCTGTCGCTTTATATCAATTCTGTCGTCATAAGCGCCAGATATTTTAGAGTTAAAAAGTAATTTGTACTAATTAAGGAAGCTGATTACATCTTTGATGGCAGTGTAGTTATTCCCTAATTGATAAAATAAAGTCTAACATCTATTTTCTTTTAAAAATGGTGGGCGTGTAATTCCACTGTANTATTAGGGATAAATCAGCAAAGAGAAATGAAATGATGAAAAACAAAATATGATAAGCCCTCGGGGGAAGCTTCCTCAGGAGAGATGTTCTTATGATGGGGATGATCACGCCTTTCGACAGTATATACATGTAGCGCACCTAAGATAATAAAATGAAATTTTGAAAGGAATTAACAATATAAATCTTTCAGTTCCATTGAAATCTCATGTTCTTAAATGTCAGTCACAATCCAATAACGACCGTCACATAATACCAAGGCAGGACCCCTGCGGAAAAACGTTGTTCAGTCGCGAAGAAAGACGAACGAGATTACGCCTGTTGAAAGGCCGTGTAAAAGAGAAAGGGGTACTCCTGCGCGGAAAAACGTCATTCAGTCGCGCGTTGTAAAGGCCAGCTTGCACTGTTCCGACGTCATTCCGCGGGGGCTGAAAAATCGGAAAGATTTGTTTTTGTGCTGTGTGTATCAGCTGGTCAGCTGCAGTTCTAAAATTGACCACGTTTGTTTACGGTCTAGTACATCCTATAAGGCGCAGGGAATCGCCATCTGAATGCTATTTAAACTCTGTCACGTTTTAATTTTGATGAACTTCCGTGACCTTGTAGCGGAACTACGTCCGCTTGAAAATGCTCGGAAGTTGACCGAGGCACCTTGCTAAATGACAAGGTAAATATTTTATGTTTCCTGGGGTGGTGACATCCTTTTGTGTGTAGATACAGTAACAGATGTTTGTTGTACTATTTCACTGATGTTGTGTTCTGACACAGGAGAAAAATCCCCGTAGCATGTGATGATGATGTAACACTTATCTGACCTCGAAAATCATCAATTTTACCAGAAATGTAATTAGAACGACACTTGAGTTACATGTTTCTTTTAAAAAAGAAAAGAAAAAAAAAAAACAAGCTTCCTGGTATTAGAATAAAAAAGATATTGAAAATGTAGCTTATGAAAAACATACGTGATTAATTTGAAAGAATTCATCCCAATCATTGTATTTTGTGGTTACATGTAGGTCGCGCAATTACTGCCTCAAGACTGAGGCTCAGAACTGGGACTACACCAAGTGACGTCACAATAGATAGACATATTTCAGAAGTTTCAGTAATCTGTATTATTCATATATAATATTAAGCAGTGGGACGTCAGGACGTTTGCTTACGTCATATGCACTTCTACGTGTTAAATTTAATGCGTTTCTGACCACATCATAACAAACCTGAGCTCCTCGTAAAAATATATTTTCTAGAAGTGAAACAATCGGATGTGACACGATAATCAGAGTCCGCTTCTTTAATCAAAGCCTGATGCGCTAATTCCTTTCTGCTGTGGATTTCCTCTTAATCCCAGACAAAGCTGGTTTGAATACCGCCTAATGATCACCCGGCTTGCGTTGGAAACCTTACGCGTAAGATGGTGGCGAGTGTTTTCATAGCTCAAAATTGCTCAACGATTGTGTTTACTGTCAAAGCGGGACGCTCTGCCGCCTGTTGATATTCAGACATATATATGTTCTATTCTCTGCGCCCTGTAGCTCGAACAGACTGCTTGGTCAGCCAAAAAATACCCCTAGAGCACCACGGTCAATGTTTCCGTTGACCAACGAAACGCTATATGTATTTTTCATTAACATCTCTTTTTGAAAATCGCGTTGCGTGACGCGAACGTTCCATGTGGAGACCGTCGTAAACAGACTGTTTTCGGCTTCCATTAGAAAACGCGCTGCTTTGAGGAATGAGAAGTTTATTGCAAAATTGAAGCCCAGTGGTTCGTTTGCTTTAAGCAGTTTGATAAACATGTAAAAAGACACTTAAGTGGAGTGTATAATTGGCGATTCGCGAACGTGCAGGGCCATTGGCAGCACGTCTTCTTTTATTAAATTTTTGAACTTCACTCTAATCAATAATGTGGTGATTATTTATCTTTATCTTAGCATTTAGATTACAATCCAAATTTCACACAACTGTATGAGTACGGCGATGTTCTGAGACTGCGACACCCAACTACCTGATCATGACATTAGACATTTAGACCCCATTCCCATACCTAGATCGATCTAACAGGATCAATCCATCTCCAAGGGGATTCTCGAAATTGTTCTCAGCTCAAGCGGCTTAGATGTCTGGCACGCCTACTGAAGATGCTAAACGATAGTTAATTACCCCCTAACAGCTTCAGTATAGGCGCGCCAGACATCAGAGAGGGATGGGTCGATCCTGCTAGATCGATCTAGGTATGGGAATGGTGTTGTTAACGCTGAACGGTACCCAGTGGTCAGTTTCTCGAAAGCACTCTGGTGGTAAGCCAGTGCTAGCTTTAAGGATGATTACTATGGCAACACCTAAGCCACGATAGAGCAGTACGTGTTGTTCCCTTAAAGGGATAATAACTCTTTGTTTCGGCCAAAAAACGAATTTTCCTGGAGTAAACAACAATTTCCCCATACTTACCAATGGTTAATGAATCCATTTTTACATTCAAAGTTAGTCCCTGTTTTTTTTCTAAAAAGTTTGGTTTTTTGTTAAAATCTCTTAAGAGATTTTAACAGAGTATAGCCATCAATGGAGGTCACGTGGTCTAAAGACAAGCTTAGATATCAGAATAATAGCTATAACTTCCGTTTTTGTGGTAAAACAGAATATATTTTATTTCTATGAGTTACTCACAATGTTTTTATTGTGAAATATAGATCTCTTACGAAGAGTTATTATCCCTTTAATTATTAAGGAATACGCTTGGTCGGTTAAATAAAGTAATAGAAGGACAATGTATAGGACAATGTATACATGTATGACTGCCTTATTTTGATGGACGACTATTGAATTATTGACTTTGTAAAGTTAGTAACAAGGATTTTAGACAGAAAACAGACTTACTGTTTTGTGTGTGTGTGTGGGGGGGGGGGGGGGGGTGAAACGGGGGTCAGCCGGCTAATGAGGTCGATGGGACTATTTCTTTTTCTGAATGCGACCCAAGATATAAGCCACGGGTCTGAGTGATATCATTAAGTATCGCCTGCAGTTTTCAGAGTTTGAGTAAAAGTGAAATTAATTCCAAACCTTATTTTCTTCAATTAAAGTTTACATTATCTGAAGTCCAATACAAATACTAAATGGATCTTATTCTTGTAATACTGAATGATATCAAATTCGGCAAAGTAGCTGGAAGAAAGAGTCAAGTTAGTATAGGTAATATAGTATTACATTACCATCGTTAATTAATTAATTAATCAATTTATTTATTTCATAAGATGATATTTACCTTTTTGTTTCCCTTATATCTTTAAAATTCGCCATAAGCCAAGCAGCGCTTACAGGGGCAATAGGAAACTTTTGCCGAGTTAAAAAAAAGTTTTAAGAACCAGAAGGTTTACCTTGGGCGATGGCCAGGTAGACGTGTCATAAGATTACAGAATTTTATCGAGTTAAGCGAATCAACTATTTGAAAGAACAGGAAAGGTACAATTTGAAGCATTGCTTTATGTCTTACAGCTTTGGAAGAAGTTCAGTCGGCTTTACAATTTTCGTCTTGGCGCCCTTGTTAACAAAAAAAGTGCAAAGGATTGCCAAACAGGGGAGATCTCGAGAGTTCCTTCCAGAAATTTTTCACTGGTGTGACTTCCAATTTCATTTATATATGGAATACAAGTTTATCTTGAGCAGTAGTATTACACATGAATAACAATTTTTCTTCAATACAAGCGAGATTTCTGTCGCTTTATATCAATTCTGTCGTCATAAGCGCCAGATATTTTAGAGTTAAAAGTAATTTGTACTAATTAAGGAAGCTGATTACATCTTTGATGGCAGTGTAGTTATTCCCTAATTGATAAAAGAAAGTCTAACATCTATTTTCTTTTAAAAATGGTGGGCGTGTAATTCCACTGTAATTTTTTTAATGCAGGGTAGCAATATAAATAAATGAATAAAGATTGTTCACTTTCTTAAGTCAAAAACCGTATTGGCTAATGCAGGGGTACTAGCTGAACAATAATTCCCATAAACTTGCACAACCTGAATTCAACCTTACCAGGATCATTAAAAAAGTTAAGTAACAACTGCCTACCGTGATATATTTTCATTCAAGTCAGCAACTTACCGAAAATCTTGATCGTCCTTGGGAAGTAACCTAGGCGCTAGAAGAAGAAGGCAAAGACTAACCGAACTTACTCGACAGGGGTGGGGTGTTTTATACTGCGCCACCAGATGGCGCTCAGATGGACCAAAGAGGAATGAGATAGTATAAACCGTTGTAAGACTAATTTCTCGGAGGTAGACCTGTGTGACATGAACGGTAGTCCTAGGAATGGATTGGCACAGGTTAGGGGTGGTCGGAGTATTGGGGTTAGTATATGGGACGACTGTCACCTGTACAAAGCAATGGGAAGCGGTTCCTAGCGGGCTGCCATTCCTGTCATTGCACACAGGAAGCATGGTTTGCATTAGTGACCTTTCCCTCCCTCTCTCCTCCCTCTCTCCTGCTCTTTGTGCTGACCTGTGACCTGTGACCCTGACCCCTGCCCTTTGACCCCTGCCCTCTGAAAACGGGAACTTCATTACATGTGTAAGCTTGCACTCATGACAGTGGTTAACAGTTTACTGGCTTACTGAATTAGCGCGTTCGGAGTTGTTTTAAAAATAGATAAATAAATAAAAACGAAAATAGCCAGTGCCTTTAAATATAACGGGTACGTTTATGAATTGTCTGTTTTGCGTTATTGATCTATGACAAAATTATAATTTTCTGTTTTTTTACAGCTATAGTCATAACCAGTCAAATATATACCACAGTCTCCTAACACATGTTTATCAGGAAATGAGTCCATGGGTGTTATATGACAGTATACGTAAGACACCGTAGGCAGTGGGTATTTGAGTGGCAATAACATCAACATTTCAGCTTCAAGCACGGCGGGTTCAGGGGGGGGGGGAGGCGAGGGGTTAGAATGAAGTGCCCCTTTAGGCTTAAGCCGAATGTACATGTATACTCATTCCTTTGGGACCTAGATTTGAGAACAGGTGCATACCATTCACACTAGTGTCTGCAAGCCTGTTTTCGATTTGTTGATTCCATTACAAGGTCTTAAGCACGGATTTTCCTAGCCTCATCTCTTCTCATCTCGACACACGCTCTCCTGTACCCGGTAAAACGCACGCTTTCCATCAACCTGGGTATAACGGTGTTAAAAATACCAACCCTGTACTTCGCGTCCGCTTTCCATCAACGTGTTAGTATATAGCAAGTGAAGCTATAGGTACTAGTTACAACACAAGTCGAAGTCGTCCGCTGTACGCCACATACAAAAGCGTACCAGCTATAACGCGGCGCAGGTGAGGTACCCTCTCTACCAGAGCCACGGATTGATTTTTCACTAGATATTCACTGATAAATATGGTCAATCTTTTAACTGGAGAAATGTGGAAAATGTGGCTGTAATATCTGCCAGCGTCATCCTGGTAGATGTAGAGGGTAGGCTTCACCCATTGTATTAATCTGTATTAACCCACAACTAATTTATCAACTTATAATGGTGCACAGAAATGTTCACAGGATATGGAGTAAGTCGGGGGGGGGGGGGGGGTTAGTTAGACCTTGATGGTTTTGAAGATAATAATAATAATAATAATAATAATAATAATAATAATAATAATAATAATAAATGCTTTATTTCGAGAAGGTAAAACATGTTAAGTATATACACTTATGTTACACAATGTCCTCTAGGAGATTTTCTGGTAAACGTGAGGATTCAGGGTGGTATATGTACATCCAGGAAATGACTTAGCTTGCTGGTTTTAATGGGCGTTTTGCAAAGACGCTGAAAACCAAGGTGTAGTGGGCGTGCTGTCAGCTATAAAATAGAACGGTATATATGGTGCAATAAGATCAAGTTTTCCGCCGAGCTACATTTCAAGTCAAAGTTTCTTACAGTAGGGAGCAGACGGTAATTACACATGAAAGTCGACATAATGAAATTTGAACCTGTTCTTCCATCATTCGCAAGTGGTACCAATCTTACAATTGTTAACGTAAACTTACCTGCCCCACGCTATCAATTGATATGAAATGGTTCTGCCTTCCAAAGCAGTTCTTTTTTTCTTGTTATGGGAACTATGCTTGGCTGAGTGGTGTGTAGGAGACACTGGAATCAGTTGTTCTCATTAGGATGGCGTAATTCAGTTACATAACTATAGGCAATTGCATTGAAGCGCATTTAATGATACGGGCGTCTTATTCAGAGACACGCGGCGTTGAAGTCTGGATTATTTTAACCAAGAAGTTATAATGAGAAGGAGTAGAAACGGGACATCAATTATCTCTCTCGTCCAATCAGATCGCAGCATTCTTTTCAAAGCGGCGTCCTTTGAAATTCGATCCTCGTAACTGGTCTAATCCTCCGCTCGCCTCCGCGTGACTCAAGACGGGGAAGCTGAACCAGTGCGTATACGTCTTGATTTATTCATGTTTAATGCGAATATTTGGAAGTTATACTTAGAAAAACGCCAAGTCGAGCGATATAAAGGTGAGAGAGAGTTGATTATCTGCTTTGAGCGTTGTTTTATGTTCATACGGTGGCTGTCAGTCAAATTTNTATGGAGTAAGTCGGGGGGGGGCGGGGGTAGTTAGACCTTGATGGTTTTGAAGATAATAATAATAATAATAATAATAATAATAATAATAATAATAAATGCTTTATTTCGAGAAGGTAAAACATGTTAAGTATGTACACTTATGTTACACATTGCCCTCTAGGAGATTCTCTGGTAAACGTGGGGATTCAGGGTGGTATATGTACATCCAGGAAATGACTTAGCTTGCTGGTTTTAATGGGCGTTTGGTAAAGACGCTGAAAACCAAGGTGCAGTGGGCGTGCTGTCAGCTATAAAATAGAACGGTATATATGGTGTAATATGATCAAGTTTTCCGCCGAGCTACATTTCAAGTCAAAGTCTCTTACAGTAGGGAGCAGACGGTAATTACACATGAAAGTCGACATAATGAAATTTGAACCTGTTCTTCCATCATTCGCAAGTGGTACCAATCTTACAATTGTTAACGTAAACTTACCTGCCCCACGCTATCAATTGATATGAAATGGTTCTGCCTTCCAAAGCAGTTCTTTTTTCTTGTTATGGTAACTATGCTTGGCTGGATGATGTGGAGGAGACATTGGAATCAGTTGTTTTGATTAGGGTAGCGTAATTCAGTTACATAACTATAGGCAATTGCATTGAAGCGCATTTAATGATACGGGCGTCTTATTCAGAGACACGCGGCGTTGAAGTCTGGATTATTTCAACCTAGGTTCAGCACATTACGTTTGCCCCCCCTCCCCACAAATTTTAAAAAAAGAGAAAGAAAAGAGAGAAAGAATGAATGAAAGAAAGAAAGAAAGAGAAAAAGTTGATCGAATTCAGCACCATACGCATGGATGTTTTTTTTCTGTTAGCAGGTGTCATGAACATGACCATGCGACGCCTATCAAATTTAAACAATAAAGGACAGCTATCGAGTATAGAAACCTATCCAATAGAAAAGACACGCCAGGGTATCCAATTTTGTGTTTTGTGCGTTTTTGTTCCTAAAATAGGTAGCTAATTAGTTAGAGAGCGTGATAGATATGTACAGAGAATTTCAATATGTTTATATTGAAAGAAAAAATGATTCTTTAAGCAGGTGTCATGAACATGACCATGCAACGCCTATCAAATTTAATCAATAAAGGACATCTAAGTAAAAAGTATAGAAAGTAAAGGGTACATGTATCTAATTTTGCGTTTTATGCGCTTTTGTTCCTAAAATAGGTAGCTACTTAGAGAGCGAGATATGCAGAGAATGTCAATATATATATATATTCCTTTGAGGGGAACAAGAACAATGAAAAAAGAAGTTAAAGTTGTATTCGCAAATTCTTTTTTTTTTTTCTAAAACTCTGGTGGCAGAAAGTGGTAAATCTCTCCTTAATTTTTGTTTGCATAATGCAAACATTTTCGGATTCATGGCGTGCTAATATGTACCCTCTACCAAGACCACAGATTGATTTTTCACAAGATATTCACAGATACATCTTTAGAAAATAGACGGTCATTTGGTTCTCATTAATGTTGAAAATGTGCCTATAATATATGCCACCCTGGTAGAGGGCAGCTAATATGCACAGTTTCCGTATCCAGTAATGAAATTTGAGTAACGGAAGTTTTAAGAATAACAACCCTTTATGTAATGATGATATTTGCACTTTTTTAAAGCTGCAATATGACAAAAATTGGACTGCGCCGAAGGAGTATTGTGAGATGCATGTTTATTTCATTACATTTCACGACATTATGCTAGCTAGGCCTCAACTTCAATGTGTATATTACCTGAAAAAAAGTTTTGCAAATTGCTTTCTAAGAATATGCAGTTTTGCCGTGGTTCCTGTAAAACATTTGACTGCGCCCTGTCACCATATCGTCTTACTAATCATGAAGGTAACTGAATTGAGGATTTTATTAATGGCTGAAATATTGCAAGGCCATCAAACAAACAAACAAAAAAAAAATAATAAAAAAATAAAACAATGACCTGTGGCAAAAGACGTCACGAAGGGTTTTTCCATTCTTAAAAGCCGGACGACACCGCGAAAATAGCTGCGAGCTAATTATTGCGTTATTTGAAATAAACTTCTTGTCATTTTCTGAGACGTTAAACATACTATACAGTAGAACCGTTTCTTTAGACACATGATTCCTGATAAGTTGAAAATTTTTATTTTAGAAAAAAAATTAGATCGATTGGAAAATGCGAGAAGGCGCTGCCAGCGACAGTTACTACGGTTTAAATTTTAATCCATTGATTTTTTTTTTGTGTCAGAACAGATAAAATAAGTAATTGTTCTGCTAGACTGATGTAAGTAAAGTTCCACTTGGGCAAATAATTCTTCGGCTCGCTTACTTTTAATAACATAAAAAATGTTATATGATCCTTGATACTGAAATCAGTTACAGACAGAAGGGAAGTGAGAAGTAAGGGATGCTCTCAAAATGCGCTTCGAAGTATGGATAGCTGCCGCCTCTCTCTCTCTCTCTTCGGCTGAGAGTTGGGGTCCAAGAAATGACCCGCACAGTCTGCGTGTGGCAAACAGGGCCCCAGGGTGAATGTTTTCTAAATTTATATATTTAGTGTCGTGG